CCGCCCCTGTGCACGGAGTCCGGTCTTGCCACTTACCAAAGGTGTTCCCATCCTGCCCCACTTACTCCTACCAAGTTTGAACGCTCTAGGTCCACGGGGACAGGAGTTATGAGTTTGCGGCCTAAAATTTCTAACGCGCACGCCTCGCTCCCTGTGATCGGAGTTCGGTACTGCCACTTACCATAGAAGTTCCCATCCTGCCCCACTTACTCCTGCCAAATTTGAACGCTTTAGGTCCACGGGGACAGGAGTTATGAATTTCCGGTCAGACACACACACCGACACACACACACAAACAAACACACACACACAAACACACCGACACACCAACAGACACACTTAGCGAATTATATAAAGTAGGATTATACATAGTATATGCTGTCCTACAATGTCGTCGCCTGTGACCTTTGATTGTGGTCAGGTGAAAATGTAGATATGGAGGGAAAGAGAGCACATAGCAGTGTTGGTATAACTGCTATATCAGGGAGATACAATTTTCTACGCCATAGCAAGAAAGTACCAACGGGTATGCGAGTTTTCAGGTTGTCACACAAGGTAATCATCTCACCCACCCCGTGCTCCTACCCTTTAAGGCCTAGTTGGAAAAAGACATCCTCTTGGCTGAAATCGCAGCGCACAAACGATGGAGCTCATCCTCTTCTTCGTTTCTGAAACAGGGCTAGAATAATAAGGGTTAACACGTAACTCCATCTTAACTTATTGCTATACTAACACTGTTATGGCTACCAGCTGTGGGTACTTCTCTCCGAAAACCGCGTAGCGCTCACCGCATCCGACCGCCCACGGTGAAGGGGAAGGTTCGAATTTCCAGTGAAAGGATACGGTATCGCTGTGGAAGCGCGCCGCTCGTCTCGTGAATTCGTGGAGAGAAACCGCCACTCATGTGCTCTCACACCTTAAATACATTTTTACCTCATGATTATTGTAACGAAACCAACGCCAATCCTATTCCAGAACCTTACTTTCTGGATTATTCCTGAAATGTGTTTATTCAACGAGGTTTTCATTTCTAGCGATAACCACGAAATACTCACCTGAGAGTTCAACAAGAAGAATTACAAAAATAGCAGTGCGCGGTTAGTCCTCCCTCTCACCTTGTTTTCTTCAGAAAATTTCGTGAGAATCCATTCGCAGAATAAAATTTGTTTCATGTGTCGGTAGAGTATTTCTTTACTGAGGGTCTTTTCTCGCTGAAGGATCTCGAGCCGGTTGATGGTAACTCCGCCTATCGCGATGCCAGGTGACGGTCAGGGAAATAAAACGCTAACCGGTAGTCACTGGTACTTGCTCAGAAATGCAGCAGTACTTATGGGATCGACTGCCTATTGTTGTACTATTATAGCTCGATTTACACGTCTATGTTCTTGCAGGTGTATCCATGCATATGTGTGTGAAGAGTCTCCTGATGCGATTAGTGTCTTGCCCATCGGCTTAGTCAAAAGTTTGCATTCGAGTGGCTGGGAAAAGACCAGATAGGCCGCGGCCGGCTCTCAATTGCAAGTAAAGTACAGATCGCATTCTTGGTCCTTCCTTCTTTGGGTAGCCTCGAGAACAGACTGTTTGAAGGGGGACGACTGAAAGTGTAATCTGTTCTTCCGATGCACAAACTCTTGCATCAGAAGGTTGTATCAAAGATCTGATGATGCAAGTTAGGAAGGTCAAGCATAACGCCACCGGACTGACCAAGAGGGAAACGCTTCGTCATCTTCACGCTACTTTCGAGAATAGAGAAGTACCGTCTCTTGACATGCGACAGCGAAGGCATCGGTTTTGCAACTGATTGTATCCCCCTGAGCGTCAAACGAACGCCAACATGGCGGCCAGCGCAGCCAAGGTGGTCTTACTCGCACTAGGATGGTCAAATCCGGATCGATATCCGCCTAGGCCAACCGAGCCTTCCTTCCTCCTGGGTCGGTGAATGGATACAACACTTGCCTGGGGAGTTAAAGGCACAGTCCACGATAATTTTGGCTAACCCAGATTATGACGAAAAATGGAAGGTAAGATGGGAAATAGTGCGATGGAGGAGAAGGAACTGCGTGGGTCGGTGTTTTCGAATTGAAAAAAGGAACCGAAAAACAGTTAAAAAGGGGGCTGGACGAGATTGAGACCAGCAGAGTTGAGAAGAGTGGGCGTTTGGACGAGCTACGCGCAGCTTGTCATTGCGTACGTGTGGGTCCTGGTGCAAATGACTGACTACGGTAAGCAAGAATTCATTTATTTATAAAGATAAATAAGCAAAAAAACTCAAGTTGCAGCAAAAATAGCTCACCTTTTCCAGCCTCTTGGGGTAGACAATTAAAAAAGGGATCACGACAGCAAAAAGAATAACAGAGGAAAAAAAAATGGGGAGGAGGGCGGCAGACGGTCGGACAGCCCCTCGAAGGGCTGTAAACAAGGAGAGACAAGATCAAAAACCATTTGTACGAGCCCCTGTTGTTTGGTTTTTGATCTTGTTCTTTCAACCCCTCGGCCGACCGTCTGCCGCCCTCCTTCCCCCTAGCACTGCCTCGTGCACGCCGGCCGGCCGGCAGGCAGACTATGTAAGCAGCCATTGTGTGTGGGTCCTAGAACGAATAATCTCAGACTGCGTTGCCTCGACACTCGTCCGCCGTGGCATCGATCGAGAGGCGGGAAAGCCACTCAAGTAAGCAACAGGGCTTCCACTATGCCCTAACCGTCGAGATTTTGAGAGCGAGAGGGTCCCTTCTACCACCCATGGGGCCACTGAGTATTCCTAAGAGAATTACTCAGAAATCATATTTATACTGAACCTTGCCTTTAAAACACTGACATGCACTCGGCTGGCCACCGCAAGTCATTCTGTTGACCACATACGCTTTCATTGGAAGTACACATACGATTCTGGATGGAAGTCGAGTGCAGGGACGCATCTCTCAGACGGGATTGATCAACGCCAAAAACTTTATCCTTTATTAATAACACGGAATTATACGTGACACTGTGTTAGTTCCTTGTTATACCGACAGGTCGTCAGAGAAGGTATGATGAATGGGCACCGAACATCTTCACTGTTAATTGGAGACAATGGGTAAAAGAGTTAAAAGAATGGTGCGATAGCGTTCTGCTAGGAAGTTGAATCAGAACGGTGGAACATTAACGTTGTACCGAGAAAATCGAGCCAGAGTTTTGCTTTCACTTATGAAAGGAAGACTCGGATCTGTTTAAAAGAGAGTATCAGGAAGAATTCTTCAACAGTGGCGAAAGGACCAATGTTGAAGTATAAAAGGAATTTGTTGGTAGTGGTGGTTCAACCCATACAAGAACCCAGCCCAATATAAGTTTATCAAGATGTGAATGCGCGGCGTAGAATTAGATGCTGCGCAAATGGTAATAAGAGCCGGATGAATCATGACGCATGCCAACGGACTTAAATGCGCGTTGGCACTTGCTTTACAATATGAAATGGGTATGCGGACTTTCTTGAGAGCATAAGTGAGACTTCGAGCCTTTATCAGATTAAAAGGGTCCCTAAACAACGACATTCCTTTAAAAAATGCAAACGTTCACAAAGAGTGACAATATCAAGCACTTGAAACGAAATACTTGCACAGATCAAATGAATCGCTTTACATCTTGCCACTTTGGTACGTGCTGCGGGACATATGAAGCCGTAGGTTCTTTGGGCAGGAAGTGATAAAAAGCTGATATAGACAGACAAGACCAAAGAAGGCCAGGCAATCGCAACATTGGAGGACAGAATGTTACAACAGGCGGTGAGGGCGTCGGGAGCTGTCCTGCTTCATAGGCCGTCCTTGTTGCCGAGCCGTCTGCATATGGCTGAGACCTTATTTTTTGCTTTTCGTAGTTCTCGCAGTGCCTCTTGGATTTCGCCTTCGATTCCCGCAGCTTTATCCGGCCAATCGCACATGGCGGTATGGTGTCCCATGCGGTTATAGTGAAATCATCGATTCCAGTATTTCGAGCATGCAGAATCAGTCATGCATCCTACCTCAAGGCATATCTCGCATCGGCGTTGTCTTAGGAAGAATTTTCTTCAGTGTACTGTCTCCTACCCTGGCACACGGATCGCTACCATGTTCCAATCGCGCACGCTCCCTATGATCATATACAGCTCACTTATGGCTTTAAACTGGTCGGTGATGATGGCTTCCATGGAGTCCTGTTTGGTCGTCAACTTTTCTCTTTCCCTCTGCATGTAGTAGACCTGCGGTTGAGCCATCATTCTGTTCCATACTGCTTGTAAGATCCTCCTTGTCGCGACGAGGATTTGTGGTGAGGCCTATGGGGTCCTGGGGGTTTGGCGGAGTAGGGGAAGCTTGGCTCGTAACTTTCTGCTTTTTGCTCTACAAGGTGCGCGTCTCGCCCCAGTTCCTCCAAAGCTCGTTGGTCCAAGAAAAGAATGGAACTTCATCATGTAATTGATCCAGGACAGCGCACTGATAAATGTCATCTCGGCAACCGTCCACGATCTTATCCAAGAGCGCATCCGGTTCGGGTATTATATAGTTGTTATTGCTTCGTTCTAGTTGCAGTTGATTAGAAGGAAGGCAGATTGTCAATCCTTTTCGCACAAAGTCATTGGGGCGAATGACTGAAATTGTTCCGAATCCGATTCCTGATAAGATAGGGGCCGTGTGTTTAAACTCGCGTCAATTTCTATAGTCGCAGTGACTAGGTCATCTATTGGTAGTCTTGTTCTCCCTATTGCCCTCTAGAACGCATGCTTGATTGAGTGGATTATACGCTCATGAAGCCGGTGTGCTTCTGTGCTTTTGGAATGATATGAATCCATTTGATAACATGGTTCGCAATAAACGGAGAGGTTGCAGCCTTCCCAACAATATTCGTTCAAATTTCTGAAGTCAATAAAAGTGGTGGTGCATTGTCGCATGTTATTGTAGTTGGGTGGCCACGCCTTGAAAAAATCGTCGCGACGCATTGATGAAAGCTTCCGTTCCCGTACCTCTTACCACTTCTATATGGATCATTCCAGATCAAGTGAATATACATCCGTGAGCTTTCGAAATGGAGCTTCCATTCTGTACCCCAGGCAGGTCGCGAAAATTCATTCCGATATGCTCAAACGGCCGACTTTTATGCACCCGACATGCATATAAGTAGACTATAGTAGACTTACATGCATATATGCATATAAGTCCGTCATGGCGGGGTACTGGTACGATGCTGCGTTCAATCTTCTGCACCTAACACATCGATTGACGAGACTACGAGCTTCCTGGTGCAGGCGCGGAATCCAGAGCGATTGCCTTACCTTTGACATGGTATGAGCAATCCCGATGTGGTACTTCTCGTGAGCACTTTGTATGATTAAGCGTGCTAGTTCCGTCTTAGAAGCAATAAGCGTGCGAAATTTAGATTCCTCGCAGAGGTCTCAGTGACCCAGTCTCCTTCTTGCTCTCCAGATGTTGTCGCTATTTTTGAACAACTCAACTGTGTTGCCCATTGTTTTCATATGAGGAGGTGAGAAGCTGCACTGGTGTTTCACCTTGTGCTTTCCTCGCTTGTTCTATATCAGGGCCGTTGATAGTGTCAATTCCAGGTTCGTCTGTAAATTCATGCTCTGGGAACGCTTTAGTAAGGTTTCGTTGTCATGCCATGCATATCGTGAGTCTTTGAATGAGTCGCTTGAGGAATTCCAATATCTATACCACTACTCGAGCCGCTTTTACCAGCGAGCAGTAGCGTGACAGCGGTACCCATTCCTCTAGTTCCGGACCTACCGTATTCATACACGGAGGGATATCTGAAGACAGCGCGAAGAGCGAAATATCCCAGTTCGACTTCAATGAGGACAAGGACTCTGGACCGCTCCACCATTCGCTGTTCAGAGGCTCTACTTTGACAGGAACCTAGTGCCCGCATCTGCCGGGTTTATACTCATAGAAATATACCCAAAGAGTATCTTCGGCTCAATGCTTTTATGATCGTTACTATAGAATGAAATTCTTTCACTCTGTTGCTGACAAACACCCCCAAATCGCGTTAATTGGGAAACTTCTTAATCCCACTCAGTACGATTTGTGAGTCCCAAAAGAAGACCACGTCAGTGATGTTATCGCTATCTTTGCCCATAACTTTTAAGAGAGACAGGCCTAGGCGCGCACTCGTAGTCAAGGCATGGAGTTTTAGTTTTGGGATGGTGATTTTTGCTTCCATAGAGGGAAGTTTACACATTTCCACCGATAGATCTGAAGATCTTTCCAATACTAGGTAAGCGCTCTGCGGGTCACATGGGACTAGGACACTTACTCGTATCGCTCCCGATTTCTTCGATTACTACTTCTCGGCTTTTGAAACTTCCTCATATTGAGTCGAGAGGTCCGGCTTTTCATGTAAAGAATGCAAAACGTGCTAATAGCTTGAACGCCAAGTTATGATTATCCAAAAGTTTTTCGCAGTTTTCTTAGAATGGGAGCCCGACGCAGTACCCGTTGCTTCGTCTTTCGATACCATCTCTGGCCACGAAAGTTGAATGCCTTCTCACTTCAAGTGTTGCAAGTCCTCTGAACTGAGCGCTGATTGTTTTTCTTTACCGGATATCACATCCGTTTTACATAGAACTAGATCCACCGGAATGTTTTGTCTGTTCCATATTTTCAAGGTGATGACATCATACTTATCCCTCCTGGGAGTCTTTGCTCCGAAATGTGTACTGACAGCTCTATAGCATTGGCTAAAGGTAGCTCAAGCTTGTCCGCCTTTTTCCAACCTTTTTTTTGAATGAAAGACCTGTCGGTGCCTGTGTCTAACAGGATTTGGACCATCTGCAATTCCCCTGTCTTTGCATCGACTATCCGGGCCCAACCCGATACGAAGTAACGGGACAGCTCTCCATCATTGAGAGCATCGCCGTAGTTCTGAGTTTCCGCCTGCAAAACTTCTTCGGGTTCTGCGCTCTTTGTTAGCTGCGCTTTGCTCTTGTTGAGCGTTTTCCTGATTTTACGCCGTCCCCGTTTGGACAGCGGCACCGTATTGGAGCTTCTTTGCTGACATGCTCCCGCTGATGTCTCCTTCACTTCCTGTAGTCTTTTGAGACAGAGGGAAAGGTAGTGCTTTGCACCATCACACCTGACGCATCCGCTCATGGTGCATTCTCACAAGGTTGCGCTTTGCACAGTTCATACATAGTTTTTTTACTTATGAATTTTTTCCTGTTCTCTATGGTCAGAATTTTCGGCCAGCGCAGGACGTTATGGCCGGCTCCGCGCAGTAAACACATCGCGGTATCAGCTCTGTTGAATTTCGGCTCTGTTGCACTTGATGCTCTTTATTTGGAGGGGTCGTTCTTCTGAATCATTTCA